TAGACAGTGCTTTGGTCTGAAGTGGGTTTGGCTGGAGTTATCTGCGTAGAAGGAGGTTACTCCCAGGGGACTGTAAAGGGAAGACAAGGCTGTGCAAAGGTTGGGGCTATGCAGGTAGCCCTGCAGTAAGATGATCCAGGTTAGCTGCTGAGTAACTGGGTAGAGGGTTCTGCCCTAAAGAGCAAATAGGTACTGAGAGTTTGCAAGAATGGGAATGCACAAGGCAGCACATAGAGATGTAAAGGTACGGGAAGGGTCAGGGCCATCAGACCCTGGACCACCCTATAAAGATCCACTGGACTATTGTGTTGTACAAAACAGCCCAGCAGGCATGACTTTATCAATAGGAGGCTTTTGTACTTCAGGTTTTAAAGATTAATGGGACCTTTAAAGAAAGTGTTAGGGTCCTTCAGGGGAATGTGATGGGCTGGTTTCAGTCAGTGTCCAGGAATGGAGGCATCCCAGACTTTGGGCAAGAACTTATGAGTAGCTGTGTCTAGTGCCGCACGCTTTTCATGTTATGACAGTTAGGGCCTTTGAGGCCCTAGACAGCTCCAGGTCATTACAGACCAGACCTGGCAGAAATATTCTGAGAGACTCTGAAGTTTCAGAAAGCCTCAGCTGTAGTTTAGGTAGGACAGGAGAGCCATATAGCCCTGTCTGTCTTCAGACCAGGTAGGCCTCTTTCCTCAGCCAGCTCCTTACAGAGAGCAACAAAGGCAGGCTACTTGTGCTGCTTTGGGTTTGGCCTGAGTGTGACATCCTTGGATGGGGTTGGCCTGTTCTTACAGTAAGAGAGACATTCTCGCTTCCTGCATCTCTACTCGGTAGACTGGACACGGCCCCAGGAGAGGCTTTAAGCCCAGTGGCTTTGGGTACTCCTGCCAAGGATGACTGGGAAGAGTCCTCAGACCCAAGGCTCACTTCATCCAGACCTGGAGGCAGGGACAGAAGCAGACACTACAGAGGGATAGTGCCTTAGTGGCCTGTTCCCCCTCTTACTTGGTAACCTTTCTTTCTACGGCTGACTCACTGCACAGGGATGGTACCACCCACAATGGACTGAGCCACTTATATAGATTAGCAGCTAAGAAAATGCTCACAGACTTGGTCACAGGCCCATCTGGTCAGTTGTTTAGCTAAGGTTCCCTCTGCCTGGGGGACTCTAGGTTTGTGTCAAATTGGCAGCAGAACTATGATACCATGACACCGGGTAAGAAAGAGCAGTTGGAGAGACTTCTGCAGGTGGAGAAAATGTCACCAAAGGAAGGGGGGGAGGGAGCAGGATTGTTAGGTGGAGGTGGAGGCTGATAGCAGAGACCAGATTCGACAGAGGCTTGAGTATTCACAAAGGGTCATCAAGAATGTCACTGGGGCAGAGTTCAGGGGAGAGGGGCTAGTGTGAGAGAATCCACATGACATCTTTCCCACAGCTGACGTCCTATCGACAAGGTCATGAAGGTTTGGGTTAAGAGGTCTGAGTCCTTTCCTAGATTATGACCAAAGATTTGTTATCACAGAATGCAGCTATATAGCAGTATGCCACAGCATGGCCAGCTTTCTTGATCTGGGAACAAACATGAGCCTAACTTTGTTATATGGGAAAATTAGTCCCAGTCCCCGCCTTTTCAGAATCTGGGGGTCAGTTTGAAGTCAATTCTTGAGAACACATTCCAGGAATGAGTCAGATGGAAATAGAGATGGGCCCTATCAGAGTGACATTTCACCCCAAAGCATCACTGGAGGGCAGCAAACCTCCCATGGTGACTCATGCTAACTTGACTGAGGCATGCTCTAAGCTGGGCTGGTTTTGGAAAATGCACTCTTTTTACTCATGGAGACAGAGCTCCATCTAGTTTCCTCACGCCGGCTCGAACTCAAGGGAACCACTTACAAAGGGAACTGTAAGGGAGCTGGCCCTGAGGGAGATGGGGAGACTTTTCTTGTGGCTCCCTTGGAGTAGGAAGTCTGGCCAGGAGGGGAAGAGCACAGACACTATAGACACGGGCATTGCAACTCTGAAGGATGGTAGGGAAAGCTGGGATGCGGGGAAAAGGAGAGGGGAGGAGGGAACGCAATTACCTCAGGAAATCTGAGGCCAGCTCTGCTCCACGCTAAGCATGAAAGACTTCCAGAAGAAAAGCAGCCCCCAACCTTATAGGGCACAGCAGGCCATTCTCTTACTGTAAACAGGAAGTAAGGTTATCTACAAAGAAACCCTCAGCTGTGCCCTGGTGAACAATGGTCTAGACTCATAGTCTTAAAGGACTTCCAGTTGTGTGCCAATGGACTGTGATAAAAAATATCTCTATTTTTACGTGCTAGGAGACAAGAACTTTTGCTGGACCTTCAGTTAATAACACACCTTGAACCGGGTGGTGATAGAGCCGACCTTTAATCCTAGCGCTCAGGAGGCTGCGGTTAGGTGGATCTCGGAGTTTGAGGCTAGCCTGGTCTACAGAGTGAGTTTCAGAGTTTCAGGCCAGCCAGGGCTGCACAGAGAGCCCTGTCTCATAAGAAAGAAAATCAAACTGTTATCCTACTGGGCACCAGCCTGTCTACTCTGCCTTTGAGAACAATGTAACAATTCTACTCACTTTGGATTTCTCATTGACATTCCCTTTTACAACCTAAGCTGATACACAGTTGTAAACCTTAAATTATGTAGGCCATGCCACAAGAATAGGTATGTGTTCTAACAATCATTGGCTGAAAGCAGCAACACAGGAGTTGGACACAGTCCTATAAGATGGACATCCACCATAAACGTTACATATATTCAGCGCAGCTTTATAAACACTGTTGTCTGGGCTGGCTGGAGTGACTTAATCCTTTGGCAAAGGGTTAAACAGTGTCTGTAAAGTATCCCTCACTCGTTCCCCATGTGATGCTTTCTGTGATGGTCACAAATACAAAGAAAAGTGTAAGGGATGGGGACACACGGACACAGACACAGCTACAAGGACAGAGTCACAAGACAGCCTACAGGGCAGGCACAGATTCAGACTCATGCCAGAGGACACACAAAGTGACACAGAGAAGGCAAATCTGGACTTGCTCTTGGTTAAATGACATCAAGTTCTTAGACCCCTACCACCCGCCCCCTTAATGGGACATCCATCATTATTGGTGACTCTTAGTTGGTCACCCAAGCATGAGAATGGAGAGCCAAGGCAGGCAAGGAGAGCCTTCCATCTGGGCCACCAAAATGTGTCCAGATCAACAAGTCAAAGGGACAGGTCATAAAGAAAATATGTGGGACTAGAAGTGTGGCAAGCCATGAAAACAAAGACAGAGTTTGATCGCCAGCACCCACATCAAAATCCTGGCACCTTCCTGTAATCCCAGTGTGGGGAGGGAGAGGCACACACAAACATATGGATGGAAGGTCGCTGGATCTTTATTTGAAAACAGCAAAACCAAACTGTCATATTCTCATATGATCTGGAAGTTTGCTCCTACACACTTTTCAATGAAGAGTCATTCAGTCATACCATATTTTTACTGTAATTTATTTACTTTTTCTCTCAAGATATGGTTTCTCTGTGTAACAGTCCTGGCTATCCCAGAACTCCTTGTAGACCAGGCTGGCCTCAAACTCACAGAGATCCACCTGTCTCTGACTCCCGAATGCTGGGATTAAAAGAGTGTGCCACCATGCCTGGTTTATTCACTCATTTTTATTTTTTTCTAGGATTATGTATACAGTGTTTTGGCATGTCTGCCTTCATGCCAGAAGAGGGCACCAAATCTCATTATAGAAGGCCAGTGCTCTTAACCTGAGTCATCTCTCCAGCCCTTACTCATTTTTAAATGATTTTTTTAAAATCCAAAATTAATATAACTTGGTCAACATAAAATCTTAAGTACTGGCACCTTTTTTTCTCTTTTCAGATTGCCAGAAATAAATTTCCCGGCATGAAGAGATTCTCTGTATTTCTCTTTTTTGGTTTTTCGAGATAGGGTTTCTTTCTAGCTTTGGAGCCTGTCCTGGAACTTGCTCTGTAGACCAGGCTGGCCCTGAACTCACAGAGATCCGCCTGTCTCTGCCTCCCGAGTGCTGGGGCATGTGCCCCCACCACACAGCATGTATTTCTTTTCTTAATGTTAAAAGACAGAATCAACTATCTTCAAAAATAAAAATCCAAGGGGCTGGAGAGATGGCTTAGCAGTTAAGAGCACTGGCTGCTCTTTCAGAGGACCCAGGAACCCATAGGGTGGCTAACGACTGTAACTCCAGGTTCAGGCCTCCATAGGCACTGTATGCACACAGTGCACAGACAATACATACAGGTAAAACACCCATACATGCAAGTTATTAAACACAAAAATCCAGTTGTGGTTTCCATTTATAATTCTAATGCACAATGAGAAAGTTGGGCTTGTGATTTGGAATCAAAGTTCAAATGATCTTTCAGTTATATAAAATGTTTGTTTGCAGACAGGGTCTCACTGTAGACCAGACTGGTCTCCAGCTCAGATCACCTGCTTCTGCCTCCCATGGGATTAAAGGCATGGAACATCGCAGCTGGAAAAACCCCTAACTTTGTAAATGCTCAATGAAGTCAAACATTTCGGTGGTTTGAATGAGAATGGCCCCGTAGGTTCACAGGTTTGAATATTGGTCTCAGTTGGTGGAACTATTTGGTAAAGTTGAGGTGTGTCCCTGGAGGTGAGCTCTAAGCTACGCTCCCTCGTGCCTGCCTGCTCCCACCCCCACCCCCCCCAATGGCCATGGGACTCTAACCATGGAACTGTGAGCCTCAAATACCTTTTAAAGCTGCCGTGGTCATGATGTTTTGTCATTGCAATAGAAAAGTAAATACTCTTATAAAGTGCTTGAACACCAAAAGGTAGGGTGACAGCTAAGGCTAAGCCAGGTCCCAAAGGCAGTGTCATATGGGGAGAAAGCAGAAATACTTCCTTTAAAAGACACAGCAAGAACACAACTCTAAAGTGGATTACGCACATGGAAACTATAAAAAGCAATGAAACACAGCTCTTGACAATTCTTTTTTTTAAGTCTCTGAAATGTAACATTTGTAAGCTACACAGGCACCCTACCCATTATTTTTGTAGGACAATTCATAAAGCATGAAGAGGAAGACAAACATACAAAAATAGTTTTCTGGGGTACACAGTATTTTGGAGCCAGACATGCACTGGTATGTAAACATCTCAGGGAGAAAGAACAAAAGAGCATGGCAGATGAGGACATTGCCTGCCCAGCACAACTCTATTCTGTAGTGGGTACCAAGTCAGTTCACACCTGCCTCTTCCACTCTCTAGATCTCAATCATTTCACACCTTTGCATATTTATATAAATAATGCTCTAGGAACATCTTCAAACCCAGACCCAAGTTAAAACACCTACAATCCTGCTTTTTCTTTAAAGACCAGGCAGCTCATTAACCATGGCCACAACCACTTGTATGAGCTGGCTGCAGAGGAAACAGGCTACACGCTACTTGAAGGTCCATCACATGTTTCTTTTGGATGCACAGTGGCTGGAAAGGTTCTGTGGTGCATATGTGATGGTGAGTATGGAAAACCTTGTTTACTGTGATGCAATTTCATAGAGGAGAATTTCAAATCCCCAGCAGCTATTAAACAGATTTAAAACAATTTGTTTTGTGGCATATCCTTAAATACAAATTTCTAAGGTACTCTCTATATAAGCTTTATTTTTCCTCCTAGAATATTCAAGTCATTCAAAATTTTAAAAAGATCACTGTGGACTGAGGATGTAGATCAGTGGTGAAAAAAAAACTTGCCTAGCACAGGCAAGACCCTAGGTCTGATTCCCAGCAGCACAGAAATCGAGAAAGCTCATAGGAATAGAGCTGGGTGTATCTTCACAATGGATCTGGAGATACATGTATGAAATACATACATATGGATACTAATTTTCAATATAATATTCTTATGGTATCCTTTCCTCTTAAATTTTTTTTGAGTTAGCTTGCATCTCAATACAATTCCCAAGTTCCTTCAGTATTCTTCTTCATCAAGGTTTCTCCCCCGGTGAAGGTTTGATGGCTGTCCACGGTATAACCTGACTGTAGCCGCAGGACCTAGCCTGTGTGGACCCTCTGATGGACGCTGAGTCGAGACTTTCTGCTGAAGGCCTTCCCACATTCAGTACATTCGTAGGGTTTTTCTCCCGTGTGGATTCTCAAATGCAGCCTAAGAGTTGACCTCTGGCTAAAGGTTTTGCCGCATTCAGTACACTCGTAGGGCTTCTCCCCGGTATGAGTTCTCATGTGGATGATGAGCTGCGAGTTCTGGATAAACGACTTTCCGCACTCGCTGCACTCATAGCGTTTCTCCCCCGTGTGAATCTTCTGATGTATGATGAGGTTTGATTTCTTAAAGAAGGTTTTCGCACACTCGTTGCACTCATAGGGTCGCTCTCCTGTGTGAATTCTCTGGTGTGTGGTGAGTTCAAACTTCTGAGCAAATGTCTTTCCACATTCGCTGCACTCATACGGCTTCTTCTCCATATGTGCTCTCTGGTGCACAATAAGGTTTGACTGATGGGTAAACGCTTTTCCGCACTCAGGACACTCAAAGGGTTTCTCTCCGGTATGAATTCTCTGATGTTTGATGAGGTTTGCCTTATGGGAGAAGGTTTTCTTGCACACGCTACATTCATAGGGTTTTTCTCCCGTGTGAATCCTCTTGTGGCTAATGAGGAGCGACTTGAAGGAGAAGGCCTTGTCGCAGTAGTTGCAGACAAAAGGCTGAACCAAGCTCTTCATTTTCTGATGCTTGAAGACGACTTCTTTATGGCTGAGCGCCTTCCCGTGCCCGCTGTATCCTGAGAACTCCACTCCGGCACGGGGCCTTTCTTGCTTCAGGTACAGAAGTGACTTCCCAAACCCACTGCGCTCCTCGCCCCTCCTCCTCACACAGCTTCCGCTGCTGAGTAAGTCGGAATCGCATTTCAAAGTCTTTTCATATAACTCGTACTTATAGGGAACTTGCGTTAACGAAACAAAGTCTGTGTTCAGATTTAATGTCTTTCCAAAAAGACTTCCTCTTTCTTCAATTGGTGGTTGGTTCTTGAGGGTTATAAGTGGCTTCATCTGTTCATCTGGGTCCCTGGGGTTCTCCACCTGGTCATCGGCCCTCCACACTTCTAGGACAAAACACAGTGAAAGGGATTTTGTTTGTTTTTCAAGACAGAGTTTCTCTGTATAGCTTGGAGCCTGTCCTGGAACTAGCTCTCATAAACCAGGCTGGCCTAGAATTCAGAGATCTGCCTGCCTCTGCCTCCCAAGTGCTGGGATTAAAGTGTGCGCCACCACTGCCGGCTGAAAGGGACTTTCTTAAGCCTTCTCTGTTAAGAATGTGAAGTCCCCACAAGGGCTCCCATCACAGAGCTAACTCTGGGTTCAGACCCAGTCTTTCAGCATTAAAAAAAAATCCCCAACACAACCATTTTTCATCTCTTAAGCTTTGAAAGGGAAATAAATATATATGTTGGAGGGGTGTTATTTCCTGATGACAAAATGGCCTTTAAGTGAGTAGAAAAAGCCGGGCAGTGGTGTCACTGTCTCTGATCCCAGCACTCGGATGGCAGAGGCAGGTGGATCTCTGAGTCTGAGGCCAGCCTGGTCTACAAAGTGAGTTCCAGGATAGCCAGGACTATGGATAGAAACTCAAAACAAAAAGGTGGGTAGGAAAAAAAAAAAAGGTCAAAGCTGGATGTTGTGGCTCATGTCCATAATCCTAACACCCAGGACGGTGAGTTGAGAAGACCAGCCTGAGTCCAAGGCTAGTCTGGACCACACAGAAAGAGTCCGTCTCAACAGTATCTCCTCCTCTCCATGATCACAAACAAAAATAAAAGTTGGCATAAAATGCCATGGTAAAGATAGTAATTTGTGATAAGGATTTCATAGCATCCTCGAGGACAATGGACAGTCAGCCTGGAGACCAAGAAAATCCGCAGATGGTGCAGAGACCCATCAGATGGGGGGCAGAGTCAGCGACTGGCGCTTCAGCCCCAGATGACAGTGACACCAGCCCTGGTCTCTGCTCACCACTGCTGGTTTTCACCCTTCAAGACTGGGCCTCATTACGTAGTTCAGGCTTGCCTAGGATTTGCGGCACTCTTTATTACAGGCATGGGCAGCAACAACTGGCCCCAAAATAACTCCCCCCTCCAGTATGTGTGGGTATTTTGCTTGTATGTATGGCTGTGCACCATGTGTGTGCTTAGTACCCATGGAGGCTAGGAAGGTGTCAGATTCCCTGGAAGTGAAGTTATAGATGGTAATCAAACCCAGATGTGGCTAATATTCCACTCCATTCCAAGGATGGAACAGGGAGGCTACCACCCAGCATTTCTGTGGGCTCTGGGGATTTACTTGTAAAATCTCCCCAACCCTAAAAATAACTTTTTCTTTTTTTTTTTTTTTTTTTTTGGCTTTTCAAGACAGGGTTTCCTCGTTTAACAGTCCTAGCTGTCCTGGAACTAGCTCTTGTAGACCAGGCTGGCCTTGAACTCACAGGTGCTAGGATTAAAGGCATGCACCACCACAGCCTGGCCTAAATTTTTTTTTTTTTAAAGATTTATTACATACAGTATTCTGCCTGCACATATGCCTCAGGCCAGAAGAGGGCACCAGATCTCATTACATATGGTTGTGAGCCACCATGTGGTTGCTGGGAATTGAACTCAGGACCTCTGGAAGAGCAGCCAGTGTTCTTAACCTCTGAGCCATCTCTCCAGCCTCCTAAAAATTTTTTTAATTGAACTAGACAATGGTTCAGAGGTTAAGAATACTGACTATTCTTCCAGAGGACCCATGTTTAAATCCCAGCACCCACATGGTGGCTTAACCATCTGACTCCAGTCCCAGGAGATTCCATGGCTCTCTTCTATCTAGCCTCTGAGGGCACCAGGCACACACATGGTACACAGACATATGGGCAGACAAAAACAGCCATACATAAAATATTTTTTAAGAAGATATGTATATGGGTGTTTTACTTGCATGCTATGTTTGCAGTGCCCACAGAGGTCAGAAGAGATCTCATGCTACAGAAGGCCATCAGACTCCACATAAATGCTAGGGATAATCACATACTGGGTGGAAGGACAGCCCACACTCCCAATCACTGAAGTACCTCTGCAGCCCACCACCACCCCTCTTTTGAAGATAGTATTTCATTATGTAGCCCTGGCTAGTCTGGAACTCTCCGTGTAAACCAGGCTGGCCTTGAACTCAGATTTACCTGCCTCTGCCTCCTCAGTGTTGGGATTAAAAGTGTGCCAAACTGTTCCCAATTTCTACTTTTATTTTTATGTGGTATGTGTGAGCATACATGCATGCATTACCATGGCATGTGAGTGGAGGTCAAAGGACAACCACCTCCAACTGGTTCCCTCCCTCCACCAATCTAGGCTCTAGGAATCAAACGCAGGACATCAGGCTTGGCAAGGAAGCAAGCACCTTCACCTCCTGAGCCATCTGACTGGTCCGAGAAGAATTTCTTTAAATGTCTGTATGTGGGGTCTGCATACAGGTGTGTACAGGTACAAGTGCCACCAGAGCCAGAGCTTCAGATTCCCCCCCGGAGCTGGTGTTTCAGGTAGTTATTAGCTCTCCAGCCCCACAAGGTAACTCTAAAGTGAGCATTTCTCACAGCCTGCAGATATAATCACTCTGCAAGTCTCTGAAGACACCTCTCAGGTAGACAGCAAGATCCTGGGGTTAACTGGGCAGGGTGGCACACACCTTTAATCCCAGCACATGGGAGGCAGAGGCAGGCGGATCTCTGTGAATGTGAGACCACTGATCTACAAATTGAGTTCCAGGACAACTAGTGCTGTTACACAGGGAAACCCTGTCTTGAATAACTCAAAAAACAAAAACAAAAAACCCCTATCTCAGGCCACACACCTTTGCCCAGAACTGGGGTGGGGTGGTAGGGGCTAGAGGTAGGTAATCTCTGAGTTCAAGACCAGCCAAGGTCACATAAGTGAAAACCTGTCTTAAGAAAAAAAATCTCAAAGGTGCTCAAACTGTTCAAAAGCTGCGACATCATTTCTCCTAGCTTTTTATTTTCCTACTCAGAGCCCCCGTGGGTGAGTTCTGAACTGACCATTCTAACTATAGCTCCTGTCCCCAGGTGAAAGGTTTGTTTCCCAGGCCGGCCTTACCCACTGACAGCAAGTTGCTGTAGTTCTCCAGCATCACATCCATGTACAGAATCCTCTGAGAGGGGTCCAGCTGCTCCCACTCCTCCTGGGTGAAGTCCACAGTTACATCAGTGAATGAAACCGATCCCTGAAATGACAGGTGATTCGCTTTGGGAGACAGAGAAGGATATATGAATTTACTCCTGCCACGTTGTAAGAGTTCACCACGACTGTGCTGCTGGCCGGGGCTGTGTCACAGCTCGAAACACTTTGCTCAGGACAGGTGCAGTGGTGCACACCTGCAACCTCAGCATTTGGGGGGTAGAGGCAGGTAGATCTTAGTTTCAAGCCAGCCAGGGCTACATAGTGAGAAACGGTCTCAATAAAAGCTAGAAAGAGGCAAATCCACACTGGTGCAGAGGTCTGCATCAAACAACGAGGGAAAGAAAGACCTTTCAAAAATACAAGGTCTGAAAAGTATTTCTTACCCTTTCTCAAGACACCATTAAGAAATGCACTGCAGGCAGGGGCACATCTTCAAACCCAGCATCAGGAGGTGGAGCACAGGCAGGCTGATCTGAGTTTGAGGCCATCCTGGGCTGTGTAATTTTCTAGGACTGCCTGGACCTGACACAGCCATCACATAGCATCTCCTAATGCTGAGACCCTTTAATACAGTTCCTCAGGCTATGGTGACCCTGATCATAAAATTATTTTATTGTTACTAATATGAAATCATAATGCAAATATCCAATGCTACCCCAAAGGGGTCCCAGCCCACATGTTGAGAACCATTTCCATAGAGACCCTGTCTCAGAAAAAGAAAAGCACCAAAAAAACCCAGTAATTCAAACTAGAGAACAGCAGTAGTTCTCTAGTGACAGCAGACAGCTTCTAGTACAGACCAGAGCTAACTAAACCTGCTTTGCACTACCAGGTCTCTGCTCCTCTCTGTAAACACAGATCTGCCTTCCTGCAATTATCTTTATTGACAGGCATTTGGTCAGTATTTAAGGTTTAGGCAAAAGCATTCCGTTCAAGGCATTCCCAGATATCCAAGGACATAGAATTACTACTTAGAGCTAATAATTCATAACCGCTCACATAGATATAAGAAATAAGCATGTCTTGGTTTTACCTCACTTATAGATAAGAAAAGCAATGACCTAAAACTAACCTTGCATTAAAAGATTCCTAACTCCTCACCTCACCTTCACCTCCGCTTACTGATGACTTTAGTTCAGGAGATTTACTGCCTGTGTCTTACTCGCAGGAAACATAATTAACAATCTACCACAGCCTAGAGGCAGACAAATCTTCACTGGTGGCTCTGACAAGCATCAAGCTTAAGAGCTTGCTAACATTGATGTTTACTAACATTTGACAAAAATGCTAAAGAACCAAGGGCCACAAACTTCCCTTGTCTGTTTATGTGAGCTGCCTGGCTGCCTCTGCCTGCAAGGTTTTGTGGTCCTTATAAGCTGGGTAAGAACAAAGAGAGGTGACAGAAGCTGGAACATAAGAGCAATAGCATCCCAGAAATTAGTAGAGATAGGGAAATAAAGAAGAAAAATAGAGCAGAGAACTGAAATTGAAATTAGGATTGAGACAGACTTAGAGCTAAGAAATTATAGACAAGTCAGGAGAATTAGAATAAAGTACAAAGGAGAGAGAATAATATAAAGAGACAGGGATAGAAAGAATGTGTTGTAAGTAGATTTCTTAACCCTCAGATTTTAGTTCCTTTCACTTATTGTGGAGTTTTTTGTTTTTTTTTTTTTTGAACCCTGAGAGGGATCCTTAGAAGCTGGACTTTTAAGGTTCCCATTAGGTTCTCAACCTGTGAGTAATGATCCCTTTGGAGTCCAAGGGCCCTTTTACAGGGTTGTTGCCTAAGACTATCAGAAAACAGATATTTACATTACAATTCATAACAGTAGCAAAAACTTCGGCTAAGAAGTGGCAATGAGGGCTGGAGAGATGGCTCAGCAGTTAAGGGCACTGACTGCTCTTCCACAGGACCTGAGTTCAATTCCCAGCAACCACATTACATGATGGCTCACAGCCATCTGTAATGAGATCTGGTGCCCTCTTCTGGCCTGCAGGCATACATGCGGGCAGAACACCGTATACATAATAAATAAACCTTTAAAAAAAAGTGGCAATGAAGATTTATGGTTGGGGTCATCACAACATAAGGAACTGTGCTGAAGGGTCGAATTATCAGGAGATTGAGAACCACTACTCTAAATACATAGGGAAATTTGAGGGTTGACTATGCTACATGACACCCTTTCTTCCACTCCCTCAAAACAGAAGAGGACCCCTTACCCCAGAATGGCAAGGATGGATGGAGTTGTTTCACTGAATTTGGAGCTAGGCTTCCAGAAAGCCCCAGCAATCCTTTCTCTGCTAGAGACACTTGTGGGGCAGAGCCCACTACGATCCAAATTCAGGTCCGCCTGCTTGTGCAAGGAGGGCTCATCCACTGAGCCCCCTTTCTGTCCCAAAGCTAACTCATTATCCTTTCTACTTAATTTTCTATAAACATAACACCCCAGAAGCGAAATGAAACACCAAGTGAGCAATAAGCAGTGGACTCACCTGGGACCCCATCATTTTCTGTGGTTGGCAAAGGCACTGAAGCACAAAGGCACAACTGGAAGAAAAAAGGAAGCTTGTTATTAAGGATCTGACCTGCCTGGTAACCAGAATGTTCTGTTTAGAGAGCACTATACACCACATGGGAAGTACCACACCCTTCAGAAAAAGCATGCTGGCAATGTTGTTCAGCTAAACACAATTAAGACACATACACAACAGGGCAAGAATAAGAATCCCACCATCAAGAGACAAAAAAGCCTCAATCCCCGAGGCTATCAGATAAGGAATTTAAAGCAACTGTGATTGCAGCGCACAATGCCTGTCTGTGCTCTACCACTACTATCCAGTTCGCGAGATTTGGGCAAGGGGCTGGAGGTTGAAACACAGACAGACACGGACCTCTAGTCACTGGTAAGAAGCCCCTTATTCAATAGCACCATGGAGGATTATATACCCAACAGTCAGGTGGGCCAACAGGTGAAAACCTCATCCTCTGATCCTCAAGGCCAAGGTAACACGTGCTCGTGAAGCAGAGCTGGTAAATAACTTTGATACAACTCAAATCAGAAGCAAAGTAAAGATCTCTAGCAGGCAAGAGCAGCTGGAGGCCAGGACTCCAAATGGTCCCAACATCTCCTCCCCTAATTTTTTTATAAACAGAAGACCCTCCTGTCTTAGGTCATCTGAGAAGAGTAAACCCTTACCGTCTTTGGGAGGCTCCTTCCCTGTCTTAGGCAGGCCCTCTTCTGTAGAAGTTGCCCGTCTATGGAGGAGTCTTCATTGTTTGTGCAGTATTTGCAACCAAACCTTACCGGCCAACAGGGTCAGAAGGACTTGCTAAGTGACCATATGCTGCATTCTCATGGATTGACTGATCTTACACAGAATTCAGAGACGAATGCCTATGACAACAGGTGTTAAGATTGCCAGCAAGAGGGTCCCCAATCACCACTGGACCCAGCCTCCCATTTGGACTATGGTATTCTACCAACCCTTTGGTTAACAGGGGCACACAGGTATCGACAATCTAGTGTGCTAATTGTAACATTCCAAGGGCTATTCAAGTAACCATTGAGCTGTTTCACTACATAAGAGGCATTAGCAATATTAACAAGTGTCACACAAACGGAATGATAAGTGTGAGCAAGACATTTGTTGTACAAGCCATAACTCCACCTGCTCCTACAATAGGGCAGTCTGTTGATTTAAATTTAATGTGGACATTAAGGGCATTCTGAGTCTGGAGAGTTGATTTGTCTCGCCAGTTTAGCCACGGTATCCGACACCAACGATGTTTGTGCCATTGCCAGTCCTGCGACCATGGCTGCAGCAGCAGACACCACGATGACAGCAACCACAGCTGTCACTCCAGAATCTCGTTTCTCTCCATACAGGGTCATCTCAGTCTGCTCAGCCTTTTTGGTAATTGGCAGTGGTATGATGGCTGGTACCCGAACCAACAAGGCAGCACTGGAGTGGTCATCCCAGCAGTCACTCAGGGCCACTGAAAGAACAACCAAGAATATCTTTTCCCCGAAAGGTGCTATTCCATACTTCAAAAAGGAAAAAAGAGGGGGCTGGTGAGATGGCTCAGTGGTTAAGAGCACTGACTGCTCCTCCAGAGGACCCGGGTTCAATTCCCAGCACCCACATGGCAGCTCACAACTGCCTGTAGCTCCAGATTCAAGAGAATCTGACATCATTATACCAATGTGCATGAAATAAAGTTAAAGTTTTAAAAAACAAAAAAAAGGAAAAAGCTAAAACATAAACACGGGATTTAATAGTGCCTGTGCTCACAGAGAAATATTCCCAAAAACGGGCGGGGGGGACTTGTGTAGGATTCCTTAAAGTAATATTCATAGCCCCAAAAATGTAACAAAGCATAAAGCATTCACAAAAGAAAAGGTTTGATTAATAGAAGCCTGCTCTATCGCCATATTGCTTAAAGCAGTTCCAGCTGTACAGCTTGAGGAATAGAAAGATGAATACAAAGAACTAGCTTGGCTCACTGGTCAATACAAGGGGGTTCCTTACCAGGCTTCACACGGTGCTTTCCGCTTGATTGAGACTCACCAGGAGACTCATCAAGAGAATGACAGGTGTCATTCTCAGGCTCATCACAGGATCCTTTCCCATCATTTTCCACAGCCTGAACATATCGCTCTGGTACCCAAATGGGCTTATCCATTAAGCCAATTGTGTATTGGGAGAGAGAATATACTTCCCCCTATTTATTTTTGTGAAATACTGTTTTTAAACCATATGCATTCTCCTGTAACATGTTTAATATTATTTACACAAAAAGTTTGAAATTTTCCACGAGTATATACAGGACCATTATCTGTTCTTGTAGGGAATCAACACTAATTGTGCTATCCTCTCACCTTGAGGAATGACCACCACTTCCTGTTGAACAGACGTCATAACCTTAATCTCTTGATAGTCTACATCTACTATCCCAGGATGGATCTGGATCCCCTTTAAAAGGGTACTGCTTCTATCTAATATTAATCCCATGGTACGTGGCGGTAAGAGCCCATATACTCCTGTAGGGAGTGCTTGCACTCCCATTTGTGAAGTTAAGACTGCTCTGGCAGAGGCACAGAGGTCCAATCCTGCGTTCCCTGGTGTGGCTCCAACAAGGTCTGCAATGAGAGCTCTGTGGAAGGAACTGGATACGGCCACTGGCCGGGTACCCCGGGTACCGTCCCTGCAATCCCGTGGTCATTGCTCCATACACTGAGGTTTTGGGGTCCTGGAGCAGGGCCCTCTGCCAGTTTCTCTGCTGTTGACTAATGGTAGGTGGCAGGGGTTTCCCATCTATATCTGTTTTGGAGAGGCAATCATTAGCCCAGTGTGCTCCCCTTCTGCATCTAGGGCACAAGCCAGGTTTCCTCCTTCCCCTCATCATCAGCTGTGGGCATTCCTTTCGAAAATGAACAGGAGTTCCACAGTTAAAACAATTACGGCCTCCGGCCCCCAGTTCCTGTCCTATGTTTCTCCAAGGTTGAATAGCTGCTGCCATAACCTGGCCTTGAATGAAATACTCATCTATTATCTCTACACATCCTGATATATTCATTTAAACTCTGCTTTGTGAGGGCGTAAGACTTCCTTACAATATTTGTTGGCATTTTCAAATGCAAGTTGCTTTATTATAGGCATAGCTGTTGTAACAGTCTATCTACATAATCTTGGAATTGTTCAGATGGTCCTTGTAAAACTTTTGATAATTCCCAGATGCTTAGGTAGGGCCTTCCAAGCTTTAGTGGCAGCTGCAGCTATTTGGGTGAATACACCTGGATCGTACAGAATTTGTTGCTGCAAATTAGCATAAGCCCCAGCTCCAGTTAGCATATCTAGATTACGTTGAGCTTTTAACTGGGCCATTTGCATACAATTTTCCTGATATTCCCCTTGCCATAGGAGATAATCTCCCCCAGATAAGACAGCACAACATAATTGCTGCCAATCACTTGGTGTTAAATTCAGAGCGGAGCAAGATTCTACCATGGAAAATGTGAAGGGTGCTTGAGCCCCTTATGCAGCAACAGCTTCCATCAAATGCTTCATTTCTTTAAATTGTATTGCAAAATGTTGGCGAATTATTTGCCCCAGGTTGTTGGTGTCTGGCATCTCCATTACTGGTGCAACCATGTGTGTAGGACGGAAGCAAACTCCTTTGTTTTGTTCAATGTTAGAGCCCGCCCCTGCTTAACTGCGACCACCACCCTTCATCATTATAAGCTGGTGGGGCCGAGGGACTTGGGCGTGAATTGTTTTTTACTTTACATTTTCTCAGTTTTCCACAGAGATTTCTTATTTCCCTACGTATTATTTCCTCCTCAACTTCTGATGACTCCTCACTATCCTCTACAAACTCGAAATCACCAAACTCCTCCCTAGCGACTGACTGTTTTCTGAACAGTCAGTTAGAGAAGATATTGCTAACAATTCCCATCTTAATTCCTCAATACGTCCCCGCCGGCTGGGAACGACCCTGTCCTCCTTACCCCTTTCTCGGTTGGACTTTTACTTGCTGACTGCACGGCCTGGAACTGAAACCAGAGCGATGGACGTCAGGATTAACACATACTCCAATCCACCCTCACCTTCCGAGGGCGACCTCTCAGCGTTCCCTAGTTCCCAAACTCAGTGGAACCCCAATTGCAGCGCATGCCGGTCTGCGCTCTATGTGCTACCATCCAGTTCGCGGGCAAGGAGCTGGAGGTTGAAACACACAGAGACACACAGACAGAGACACGGACCTCTAGGCACTGGTAAGAAGCCCTTTATTCTATGGCAACATGGAGGCTTATATATCCAACAGTCAGGTGGGCCAACAGGTGAAAACCTCATCCTCTGATGCTCAAGGTCAAGGCAACACGCGCTCGAGAAGCAGAGCTGGTAAACAACTTTCACACAGCTTTCAGTAACTCAAATCAGAAGGAAAGTAAAGATCTCTAGCAGGCAAGAGCAGCTGGAGGCCAGGACTCCAAATGGTCCTAACATGTGATTCCTAAACCACAGACTTTAATGTAAAAGGCAAACATGAATGAACAAACAGGGAATCTCAGCAAAGATGGAAATTAGAAGAATAAAAAACGAAAAAAGAAAATTCCAAGTGATATGGCATATGCCTTTAATTGCAGAACTCTGGAGGCGGGCAGTCTGTGAGTCCCAGAACAGCCAAGAATACACAGAGAAACTGTCTTGCGAAAACAGTGAAAATGAAAAAAATACTAAGGACTTCAGAGCACAGCTCAGTGGCTGTTAGGGTTTGCTATGAGGCGAGCCCCCGGCTGCCGGGTTCAATCACTTCATCTGTGGACTAATCCTCATGGACTCTCATGGTGGCATCAGTAGGAAACAGAAGGTGGGGCTTAGATGAAGCAGCATGCCAGGGCATGCCCTGGGAGATAAACCTGTCTCCAGCCCCTTCCTGTCTTCCTAGTTGCCAGGAAGTAAGCAGAGGTGAGCAACCTCTGCCATGATGTCCAATGTCACCATAGATTTAAAGAGATGGAATCAAGGGACCGTTGACTGAAACCGGGAACCACAATATACCCTTCGTCTTTTGAGCTGCTTCTCTCGGGCATCTGCCCCTGTAACAAAACACTAACTGGAACAAAGGTAGAAATTCTTAGCATGAGGCCTTGGATGGATCCTTAAAACAGTCCCTTGCAAAAGAATTAAATAGAGAAGAAACAGCATTTAAACATCTGAGAAAGAGCAGCTTCAATTACTGCTTGTTTTATTTTTTGAGATAAGGTCTCATCATCTCGCCCAGGCTAACCTCAAATTCATGATCCTCCTGCCTCAGGCTCCCAAGTGCTGGGATGGCAGGAATGAGATACAATACCTGATGTGCATTAAAATGTCTTATGGCTTAGGTCCCTCCTACCCTATTCCCACCCACACCGTGAGCATTACCCCAACACCAGCACGAGGACGGACATGACAGAGGTGAGAGCAGAAACCCGTCCATCTCTAACAACGGAGAATCAAGGAAACCAAAGCCGGTATGTGGAAAGACCAGTACACCAATAAAACTAACCAAACTGGCCAGGAAAAGGACAAACAGCTTGGGTGTGGAGGGATGGTAACATTTGATAGGCTGAGGCAGGACCACAAGTTCCAGGCCAGCCTGGCTACATAGAGAGACCTTGCCCAACCACACAAAAAAATCCAAAAGTAACAAAGAACACAAATTACCAATATCTAGAATGACCCAGGGCACATTATTATAGTTGCTGCATATATTAATCTTTTTCCTTTGGGGGCTAGAGATATGGCAAAGAATGGTCACTGTTCTTCCCTAGGAACAGGGCTCCATTCCCATTCCCCACCTGGCAGATGACAACTGCCTATAAGCCCAGTTCTAGGGGAACTGCATACCCTCTTCCAGGTCCCTCGGGCACCGGGCACATACGTGATGCACAGACATACACACAGGCAAAACATCTATCACATAAAATTTTAAAAAATTAATTTGTAAAGAAATAGAGGGTGGAGAGACACTCAGTGGTTAAGAGCACTTCCTGTTCTCCCAGAGGACCAGAGTTCAGTTTCCATCACCCATGTCAGACATTCACAACCACCAGGAATACCAACTCCAAGAGATCTGATGCTCTCTTTGGCCTCTGCAGGCATCAGCACACACGGGGAACACATACAGGACAAATATACATAAATAAAAACAAAAATTAATATTTAAAAAAAGAGGTGGACTGCCCAACCTTATAGGCCATGCCCGCCAGAAGATCAGGAGGCCGCCTGATCATGGATCTCCTCCCTCTCTTGGTTCCCTTGGGCACACAGCCCTGTCTACCCACAGACTACACCTGCCAGAAGACCAGGTAGGCTGCCCACCCTATCCCCCTCACCTCCCCGACACCATATCCGCGCCCTCAACTCAGGTGGATACTCCCTGCTGGATCAGAGGCCACGAAGGCTTCCAGAACTCCTGCCCCCAACTCAGGCAGAGACCCTCTGCTCAAC